ATCCCTATTGCTTCTTCTTTTACGAAACAGGTATTTTTTGTTCTTCTGTGCATAAATGTATAGATTTGTTCTTCTGACCAAAATAACGTAATAATTTACTGAAATTTCACAGTTCATGTACACTGATTCGACAACAAAAAAGTCAGAAAATTGTAAAAACAAGATATGTTTGTAAAACATGTATGCCCGCTATCGGCAGCCAATTAGTCATGTGATCAGGTTATTATGCATGACTTCTGACACAGTGAACAAACAATTAATAAGGGTTATCTAGTATCTACTGGTCATGACAAGTCACAAGGTAATAATTATTGTGACCCCATAGGTTGTGTGCAGCAATTTAAGTTATTACAAATCTTACCAAATAATATATGCATAAATTTTATGAATCATGTAGGCCTCATTAATGACAGCCAAGTTGTTATACTACATCAGTCCTTCAAATGTGTATACCAAAAGCATTTTTAGTTTAATATTAATATATCAACCAAGGCAACTTGAGTTGTTGAGTTATTGGTCAGAAACTGTCATTAAGTACAAGGTCAATATGACATTGACCCCTTGACCCCAAAATCAATAGGGGTAATCTACTGGTCATGACCAATCATCATACCAAGTTTGAAGTTCCTAGGCCTAAGCGTTCTTTAGTTATTGATCAGAAACCGTTTTTACTTACAAGGTCAATGTAACCTTGACCTTGGACCCCTTGACCCCAAAATCAATAGGGGTCATCTGCTGATCATGACCAATCATCATACCAAGTTTGAAGTTTCTAGGCCTTAGAGTTCTTTAGTTATTGATTGGAAACCGTTTTTACCTACAAGGTCAATGTGACCTTGATTTTTGACCTCTTGACCTAAAATCAATAGGGGTCATATGTTGGTCATGACCAATCACAATACCAAGTTTGAAGTTCCTAGGCCAAAGCGTTCTTAAGTTACTGACCAGAAACCGTTTTTAACTAAGAGGACAATGTGACCTTGACCTTTGATGCCTTGACCCAAAATTTAATAGGGGACATCTGCTGGTCACGACCAATCATCATACAAAGTTTGAAGGTCCTAGGCCTAAGCGTTCTTTAGTTATTGATAAGAAACCGTTTTTACCTAAGAGGTCAATGTGACCTTGTCCTTTGACCCTTTGACCCCAGAATCAATAGGGGTCATCTACTGATCATGACCAATCACCATATAAAGTTTGAAGTCCCTAGGCCTAGGGATTCTTAAGTTATTGATCGGAAACCGTTTTTACCTACAAGGTCAATGTGACCTTGACCTTTAACCCCTTAACCCCAAAATCAATAGGGGTCATCTGCTGGTCATGACCAATCACCATACAATGTTTGAAGTTCCTAGGCATAAGCATTCTTTAGTTATTGATCGGAAACCGTTTTTACCAAAGAGGTCAATGTGACCTTGACCTTTGACCCCAAAATAAATAGGGGTCATCTACTGATCATGACCAATCACCATATCAAGTTTGAAGTCCCTAGGCCTAGGGTTCTTTTAGTTATTGATCAGAAACCGTTTTTACCTACATATAATAGAATAAAACGATTTGCAGTTGATCTAAGTTCAAAATAAAAGAAGGCTTAAGAATAAATAAGTTAGCTAAATCTCAACCCTTGAAATTTGGCAAAACATAAGAAATACTTATAAAGATAAAAATGACCGATACATAAAATGTTGAACAACTGAATGACCATTTAAAGATTTATTCGGTATAAAAAGCCGAAATGAAAATCAAACTTCTTCTTTATTGATAACTCAATTGATGAAGATCTAGACGCAGTAATTAGTGCGAGTAACGGGAAGCTATATTTTCTCAAATTAATAATCACCAGGCATTGTTTAATTAACACGTGAATTTTTTAAAGCCTACGATATCATGTTCCCATTGTTGTTAAAACTTTACACTATATTGCTTTAAAAAAGTGAATAACTTTAAAACGATAAAATTTGTAATGAACAATGTGGGTTCAAAAAAGAAAATCAGTGTCTGATTGTATATTTAAGTTTTTATATAGAAAAAGTTCATTTTTAAATAGGTATACGAAACAACTTTTAGTTTCTTCATTAATACAATGTCATTTTGATTATGCGTGTGCCTCCTGGTATTTAGGGTTGAGTCAAAATCTAAAAAATAGACTTCAGGCCACACAGAATAAGTTGGTGAGATTTATACTTAATCTCAGTCCCCGTACTCATATAGGGAGGGCTCATTTTGAGGAAGTTGGTTGGTTACCAGTACATCTGAGGGTAAATTTCCTTATTCTTGGTCATGTACATAAGATACATAACAATAGTGCACCTAGTTATTTAAATGAGCATTTTCAAATTGCAAATGAGGTACATTCTTACTCCACTCGATTTAGAGATAGTAACAGTTATTCTATTCCAAGAGTTAAGGGTTTCGGTAAGAAAACATTTGTATTTAATGGTTGTCAGGAATGGAACAGGTTACCAACACATCTTAGGTTCATAGCAAGTCGTGATAATTTTAAAAAATCTCTTAAGGAACATTTTATGCAATCAATATCTGTTTAGTCATTTTAATCTAGTCATCTTACCTAGTTTTTATTTATATATTTTTTTATGTTTAGTGCATATTTTAGTAGTACCTATTCATTGTCAAACATATCTGTCATAATAATTATGATTATAATACATGTGTGATAAATTTTGTAATGGAAATACTTATGTGCAATAACTGATATAAGAAATTGTGATTGAATAATTTATGTGCAATACTTAAAAATTAGTAAATATTTTGCCTTTCTGGTGTCATATGATCAATTCTAAGGACCACAATGGAAATAAGTCGGCTTATGCCTTCTTTTTGTGTCATCCTTGGTATTGAATATATGGCATCAACACATGCACTTTCATGTTTACATGTATCTCTTGATGTTGACATTGAATTTGTAGTTGTTTTATGACATGTATTTTTTACCAGAATAAAACTATCTATCTATATTTATTTCTTATGCATTTATATCAAATGTCCTAAAGTCGGTAACTTAATACTATTAAACAAGGATTAAATGACAATTTTCAAGTTGGTATGCATCTATCAATAATTCAGGAAGATTACAAACATACTGCACAATTAAACATTCTTTTGAAATGGATAAATATTGAGATTTTGTCCAAGAAAGTAAATACAGAACTGCTTTAACTAAATTTCGAACTTCTTTCATAATTGTCTTCCGCCTTGTCGAAGAAAAAAGGGGGATATAGAAATAGCCTCCATTCGTTTGTCGTTTGTTTTAGGGTATATGTCGTGTCCGGTCCATAACTTTCTTATCTTTGAAGAAGTTTTGTAAATACTTGCCACAATTATTCACAATAATCAGACAATGTGTCATGTTCAACAAACCGTCATCTACTTCCAAGGTCAAGGTCACACTTGGAGGTCAAAGATTAACATAGTTTGTTATAGGGTATATTTTGTGTCAGGTCCATAACTTTTTCATAGATCAAAGGATTTTGTAAATACTTGCCACGAAAAGTCACTATAATAAAACGATGTGTCAAGCGCAACACCTGCATCCCAACCTCTAAGGTCCAGGTCACATTTAGAGGTCAAAGCTTAATATAATAGATTTTTAAATTCCGTGTTTCATTTTATTTCTTTAATAAATTTATTGTTGCATTTGCAGATCTAGCATTGATCATAATTTTGGACTGAAAGTCCTGAGATCCATACCTCAATCTTTTGAAATAGCTTCAAATAAAACTTCCCCAAGGCGTGGGACGTTGGTAACTCTGTTACAAATTCTTGTTTATTTTTAGAAATTGGTAGAAATGAAAGCACTCTTAGAGAACACAGAATATGTAAATCATGCAATATAAAGCAAATAGAGAGTGAATACCACTTTCTCCTTGTATGTCAACAAAATATTTTAAACCAAACTACTGCAATTGGCCGACTATGAAACTTGATAGTCTTTTGTTGTCTTACTCAAGGAAAACTATATGTTCCTTAGCTAAATTTTTAATTGGGCAAATCATAAACGTATTTCTTAATCTGTTATTTTTCTGTAGACAAGTACAAGTCTTATTTGTTCCTATATTGACTTAAATGACTTGTATTCTTCAGAAAACTGTGTTTTGTAAACTGCTTTCTTTCTTACCGTCTCCTAGGTCGAGGGGTTAGAGTCGATGACTTCTAATCCAGTTACCTCTCTGGCGTGGGTTCGATCCCCGGGAGATGCTTTGGTAGTTTAGCGCGGAGGAAGGTAGTCTAGTACTGGTGTAACTCTCCAGGAACGATGGTTAGGAAACTACCCGCCTATATGACTGAAATACTGTTGGGAAAAGGCGTGAAATGAAACAAACAAACAAACAAACATTCTCACTGTACATGTATACCACTGTTAATTGGCTATAAGCAATGTTTTTTGTTTTATGCTTAAAAACAATCGTATTCGTATTATATATAAACAGTGTTGCTTGCAATGGTTTATCACAAAGCCTTGAACATTAATTAAACATATCTCGATTAGACGATATATAAACTTTTAATAAGCAAATGACCAACAATAAAACATTAAATTTGAGCATAAGCGTAGTATACACTTAAGGCATCAGAACCGTTACCAAATATAACCAAAATAAAACAGTACACGCGTGACCTCGCTTTACTATATAAAGGTGGCGATTTAAGTTTGAATTTGACTCCACAACTATTTTCGCACAGCTCTTATCTAAATCGTCTAAAACAAACTAAAAAACTTGAAAAGATAATTATTTTCAAAATGAATTTGTGTCATAGTTTTTAAGTCAACAGATGGAATTATTGAAAAATTCAGATGTTTTATGACATTGCAAATCAATTGCTCTTACACCGACGCGTTTTGTCCAAATGCGAATGTGAGGAAAACGTGTTTCCGCGAGGTAGTGCTGCTTTGCGGGTCATTAGCTTGTACAAATATTTGGTAGTTTTATGGATTTCAATAGGTGTACATGTAAGAAACTGATAACAATATAACATTATTATAGATAATTTATTAAATATCAAAGATATACACAGTGAAATATCATGATGCATACTAATTTTCCTAATAAACATAGAACATGTTAACAATTAACGAGTAGACACGTACACAGGTCTATCAATATTCAGTGCATTATTTTATACTTATTTTCATTTTATGAACATCTTACAAAACAATTACAAATCAAGCATATGACAAACTAGGAAGAATCTGATAATTTGTCATTGTATTAAAGATATACGTTTATACAAAGTGAATGCAATGATGCATTACCATAGTTAATATCACTTTGTATAAACATTTGAGAACGGTTAGTATGTATAACTATAAGAGCATAATAAAAGGGTTACGGGACTATATGTATTTGTTATTGAATGACTGAGGTTGAGAAGATATATCTATATAGAAATATGTTTGACCTTATACGAGACTGAATTTGCGTTTAAGTATTAAATGTAAGATTAAAAAAAAAACAGTATTAATTCATATTTCAATAATTAAAAATTACTACCATATGACATACGCATGATTTAGTTTAAGCATGCCATCCATGATTGCACGGTCCATTATTTGTAAACGGAGATAAGAAAATATCGTATTTCATTTGAAGAAAATGTAAATAAAGATGTTTTGAAACAAAGCCGGAAATCTGAAATTTGCCATGAAGCAGATGTATGTGAATGTTTATATGTACTTGTTTTTTTATTTTCTAACCTTTTTAGTAAAAGGAGATATCATCGAATGTAATGGAAACAAAAACAGATGTCAATTACAGACAGATTATTTTCCCTTTGGATTCTTTATTGTTACGTTCAGTACTTGACATGACAGTCCAATTTTAGTCATTTAAGTTACCTTTGCACGTTCGCCTGTTGTTACTCGACTCTGACTATTAAAACAGTACTTCAAGTTGATACATTGGATGGCTTTTAAACGATAATGTTTTAAACGCGTGGTCCCTGTGATGTGATATGACATAACCATATTAACACGCACCCGGCGCAGCGCATGGATAAATATTCTTAATCTAAGATGTACTTTTGGTTGATTCATCATTTCACGTCTTTTTTATTTATTCCACCAACAGTTTGATTATTGATAGTTGACATTATTCCGGAATTTACATCATTCAGACAATAAATGGCTAAAAATATTCAAGTTTTTAGCAAAAATGGTAACAACATTGAATGTAGAAACATAACGCCCGTTGAAAATCTGGAAATTTATGCGATCCTTAGAATTTGCAAACATGTTTCGAGATACTCCTTCATCTACATTCGAGAAGATTTAATAAATGTACTTCGGCTTAATTAAACTTTCTTTATGAATTGATTCTACGATCTTACGATAACGTTGAAACTCTAACCTTTTTAGAAAGTTTTAAGGGCAGAAATGTTGGGTATATTCTATCAAGCTTTTTATATAGCGACTGTGCATTGATTTCTTCTGGTGTCATTGCTTTTATTTTCTGAGTATTGTCATTTGGTAATCTTGATACTAATTTTCTGAAGGTAGTACTCATATTACTAAGATGAACGAGCTTTACGTTCAATTTTTCTTGGTAATCATTCAGTAAAATATGCTGATCACTTTCTGGTAATTTGTGTTTACCTAAGAATGAATTACTCTCTGGCGAAAACCCAGATTCGACTTTACTCTCGGTATTTTCAACGTCCGTTTTGAACTGCTTCGTTTGCTTCTTTTCATCTTCATCTATGACCGTACCCGATTCCGCATCGAAAGCTGGTTTTTGATAAACATTACTATTTCCATCTGTATCTTGATTCTTCTTTTTCGTATCTTTGCCGTCTGAATATTGTGACCCAATATTGGTACTGTCGGCTAGACTGCGACTTAGAGCCAGAATTTTTTCTTCCATTTTCGTTATTTGTTTGTGTCTCTGGGCAAGCTGATCCTGCAATTCTGAGATAATCTTGAGACAGTCTCCATCACGGTTGTCTGTATGGTCACTTATTAGATTTTCTTGATCTGTCAAAAAAGTCAAATATAAAAAGTGAAGTGCTTGGTTTAAATAAAATTATTCATACAAACAATATGACTCCGAATGTGAGAGATATAGTTCTGCCAATCTTTTTCGCACGAACGAGTAATATGTTTTGATTTCGTAAGTTAGAATTGAATATGATCGTGTTGTGTTTCTTACTGAACATTTCTCGGTTTTACTACCGCTATTAAAAGTAAAACTCCGAATTAATGCCAAAACAATTGTTTGAGCATCCTTCGCCTAGCTTTAAACGTTTGACTTCATCTTTGTCGTGCCTTTATGGTAACTGGCGAAACTTAGCAGGCAAAATGAAAGGTAACATATGCTTGTTGGATGCTTGTTGATCGTCAATATTTTATATAAGAGTATCAATATTTTTACTTGCGCTTCTCATTGTGACATATAGCATATGCACAAAAACAAACACATTTTCTCTATGTGTAAGAAACATTTTGAGAACTAACGTAATGTAAATCTACAGCCCGTAGTGTACATTGTTTATTACCTTTTAACTTCTATATAGTTTGTATGTGTTAATCTTAAAATGACAAATAGATAACCCGGTGTAAAGAAAAAACAAATTGATATAAATAAATTAGAATTGTGTTTGGCAAAAGTAAAATGGTCCATATCAAAGAATTATAATGATAAAGATTTGTGTAACTGTCAAAATATATGATAAGATCTTAAGTACAACAATAATATCCTAATAGAGTAGAAAGATGCATCTTTGAACAAAATAAAATATCATCGCAACAATTAAGTACTATGCACGATATGAGAGTTTATATTACATGTTAGCACTCCATATTCAATCTGATACTGTTGTATTTGAATTGCAAGCTACAGTAATCTATAACCCAAGACAGAATGTAGCAAAATAATTTGTAGAGAAAGTCTTTTGTGTGATAGATAATTAATTTGATTTAAAACTTCAATTTACCTTCAATTTCATTTATCAAATATGTTTCTCCATTTATGTTGATCTGATCTATTCCTTGTCTGGAAAAGGGTGCTGTAAATCTATTTGCTTCATTGCTCAATAAGATACCTCTTAATACTTTGACATACATCTTTGGAATAATGAATGTAATGAGAACGCTGTTTGCTTCTTGAACACCTGCTACTTTAATGCAATTAATGCCCACCATTAAAATATTTGCAAACTTCTCCCGTACATTCTGAAGATCACGATTTCTCAAAAAATTGTCACCCCTAATATGAATGGAGACCTTTTCAACATTTGATCCTGAAAAATCATTAGATAAAATTATGCCTGAATGTGAATAATACTTTCTTAATTTATATTACGTCCCATGTAAATACACCTTCTTTATATTACGTCCCATATAAATGTGCATTACGACACAAACCAAATACAGGTTGAGGACAATAGAGTAAATTCTAAAACAATCTTTGTGAGTCATTTTATTTAAGAGATCCGTCAGAACATAATTGATACACATTTGTTACTGCTCATTGATGATCAGTGACAAGTTTATTTTTCCCATAAGTTTGTTTCAAAATTTGCACTTGCGCAGTATGTGTCCGTTTAAGAAAATTGAAAAAGTCATGTCAAATAACTCTTGTTATCTACTTATATACTATGGGAGAAGTTATTCGATTGTACATATTTTTATATTTTTATGGGTAAATGACAATTAATTAGTTTTTAAGAGAGGGATTTTAGCTGGCCTTGTTAGCCAACCACCATCGAATTCCACAAGACACTATACGCGGGCTTATCAGTTACAAATAAGGAGACAGTGTAAGGCCATAATCAACATAAATTGGCACCATACTTGATATTGGCAACATCTTTACACTTTTGGCTCAATTTCACCTAATATGCACAAAAGCCTAAAAAGCTGTTCTTATTCAGATTACCGAGTTGTGACGCTTCACTGATTTATTAGAACATACCAAAACAATAAAACATACCAAAACAACAAATTAATACACTTTGATATCAAAATTATCTAAAGATCATTTTTGATAATTAATTGTTGTATTCCCTTAAAATACATTCAATCGAATAAGTGATTACTATCAAATTGTGAGTAGTATATTATTACTAACATTTATAGCAAATATGAAAAAAATGAGATTATAGGGCGCCATAAAAAGAACACAATTGTATGAAATTTGATTATGTTCATGAAAGTTACTTTAAAAGAGCACCATCTCTCATGTCCCATATCACATGCAAGTCCAATCCGTGAATTAACATATCAAAAGTAAATTCACTAAAAGAATCTCTATAAAAATACTATACAGAAAAAAATTATTACATTGTCTTCTACAAGTCATTTTTATTTTATACAAAACAAATCATTTTTTTTTTTAATTTTGGAAATATAGCATTCGGTCACGTCATCATAAAAGTGGATTATTTTCGAACAGAATTCAAATATTTTCAGGGTTGAAAAGCTTCAATGTTTGTATTCATATATGACAAAATAAAAAGATATATCACAATGCAAGTTAAAATATTAACATGTAATAGACAAATCATTCTTATGCATTGCAACATATTGTTCTAAATCGCATTTTAACCCACCTTGCGTCATTGTACTTTGATGAAAATGTAAAATATCATTCTCTCTCTCCTTTGCATATGTTATTGTCCTTAAATGTAGGTCTTCTCTTTCTAAATGACGGGCAATTTTTTGTAGATATACGATATTATTCTGATTTATAACATCTTTGCTGTAAAGCATTTGGAACATTTCAATCCAAGATGTAACGTCTGCGGTAACAATACCTGAAGGTTCAAAATCATGATTGATTAGATATAAAGTTACGATTTTTTTCCAAACAATTATGATTTTGTTGTTGATTTGTTTGTACAGTTACATTCTTCCTATAATTGAAGAATATATTTACAGTAACTAAAATTTGTTTTTTTTTTTCTTAAAAATATTGCCAGTATTTCCTAAGGACACTATGCGTCAGTACCGTCTTTACCTTTAAAACGTAACAGATCTCCTTGATATATTTCCAAAAGATATTATTGTTAGATTCAAAGGTTCACTGTATATCAACTGATTTAAAGGTTCACTGTATATCAATTATCATTAAATTCGAATATCAAATATTAAGAGAATATTTTTTCGTTTGAACGGCAAGTGAAAAAATGTGGTATTTTATCATGCATTTTGTTTTTAAAATTACTTATTATCAAGAAAAATTGGTTACAAAGTAATCGCTTGTACGCATCTGCAATTGTACACCGGGCAGATATATAATTATATCAGGGTTTCCAATACAAACGTTCTTTAAAGGCTTTTTAAGCCGTTTGAAAAATCTGTCGTTAAGGCTACCTTTTGCAGAAAAACATTCATAGAATAATGAATTTTGAAAACGTTTATAAAATTTGTGTGTGTTTATTTTATTCCATATTTTTTAGATAAAATACAGAGTATCTATAGTGAATTCTAACATGACCCGCATCTTTACTTATTGAACATAGAAGGACCGAAAGTGTGTGTTATTTAATAAATAGTATAGTCATTATATCACTCAATAAAATTACTGTTTGGAGTTCCCATGCGAGGAATATATCACGATGGCTTAGCCCGAGTGATATAATGATGCACGCTTGTAGTATAATGGAAATAGAACGCACAAATGTTTTACATTTTAATAGTATATAAATAAATATACAACCTGTACAAGTCAAATACCAAATTCGAACTCTTTACGGGGCTTTTCAGACCATATTTATAAGGACAGTTCTCACATAAAATGTTATGAAATACGTACAATCTAGCTGACTCTCAAATACATTATCTATCAATTTTGACATTTATCCATGTTGCTTTCGTACATTGTTCTATAATATATGATGTTAAGAGTTCACACCATGTATTAAAACATATTGTTAAACCGTGTTCTTTATACTTTTACATAACTTATGTCTGACTAATTAACCTGTGCAATCAACTATATGACACTTTCGAACGACAAACAATGATTTTATCAAGCGATAAAATCACCGATTTGGATATATTATTTCGATCCTATCACGACATCAACAAATAAATGCTTCCGCACCTGATATTATACCATATTGCGCCTGATATTTTTCCGTACCTATTTTCAGCGCGTCACATGTATAATGATTACGCCACATGTCTAAATATAGAACTTCAACAGTAATGGGAGGATATAAGAACGGCGAGTGCATTGTTGTGAAATCTAATTCTATCGGGCATTTCTCTTATGTAAACAAAAAAGGCTCGAAAGGTGATATATTTCACATTCTATCACTATCGGAGATTCCCCTAAAAAAAAGCCAGAATCGTTATATATATCACAACAATGAGCTCGCCGTTCTTATTTCCTCCCTCTGTATTTTCAATCAGACACATTGAGGTCGGCCTTTTGTTTGAAAATGCTATAAATTAAAACAACTTTTGTTGAATTTTGTTCTGAACACTATCTAGAATGCTAGAAAGTGATCTAAGACAATAATTCAGAACAGAAATATCTTTAATTCTGTCATTCACGACGCTGTATAGAGGTTTAAAGTGTTGTTTACGTGACGTCACAATGTAATGCAAAAGCAGTCAAAACAAGAACGCTATTTCAATGTAGAGGTTAAATTACAATAAGTGAAAACCGAGTGAATAACTGAAATACTAATTGTCAGAAATGGAGCTGAAAGAAACACGAGAAAAAAGGTCTCTTAAAATATATATAAGTTTTGACAACGTCCACTTTCATATTTAAATTTCATATTCATTTCTATCAAATATGAATATAATTGACTGATATAGCACCATATTTCATTGGTTAAATAAAAAAGTATATATATTTAACGTTATCATAAATTTTTTTAATTGTATAATTTCATAGACTAACCCTGGAAGATCAACTTTATTCTAGGCAAATCATTATCACTCAGCTTTTGCGAAAATTCTTCCAACAGATGAACAAATTTCCAATCTTCTGGAGGACTAAGAAGTTCACAGGCATCACCTGGACATGTTAAATCATACTAAGGTTAATCGATTTTAGTATTATTTAAAAGTACAGTACAAACAGTTTTGACAAGGAAAAGTATGGTGGCATATTTCTGCCGCCAGATAACAATATAAGTAACTAGTTAATTAAGAGGTTAACAAGTTTTACGTAACTAGTTAACCTCTTATTAACTAGTTAGTTATCCGCTTAACTAGTTACGTAAGTAGTTAATCTCTTAATTAACTAGTTAGTTATCAGGTGAACTAGTTACGTAACTAGTTAATCTCTTAATTAACTAGTTAATTATCAGGTTATCTGGTGGCAGAAATATGCCACCATAGAAAAGCAATAAAATGGTATAAAAATAAATAATCACTATTGAAATGCTCTGCGCTAAGGAGCTAATACAATAAAATAATTTGTAATAATAATAATTCGAATAATAATAATAATAATAATAATAATAATATAACAAAGTCATCAACAACAAAAAGACAAAGCAATGCCACGTCTTTATTAACAGAATGGATTATATATGTAAATAATAGAAACCAAGAAAATTAATTTCTCGAAAACCATATACCTATTATACGCAATTTAACTTTCCTCAAATATGAATACCAAGTGCACTGTCCTATGGTTTTCGAGACCTTAATTGTCTTCGTTTCTAATATTTACATATACATTGAAGGGATATAAATGTGTATTTGTAGGGAATTAAAAAAAAACTCGTTTTAATTCATGATAAGATATTGTGCTCTTGTTTGGAAGGAACGAATGCTTACTCAATTGTTTTATTGTATATATAATTATCAATTTTCTGGACGTTATTGTCGCGAATTATGTGATACATTCCTTAGATTTATCTCCTTCATTTCTACTTTAAGTTTACGCTACAAACAATTTATCAAAGTCCAAAAGCTCTTATTTTTATAATTAGATATTGTTTACAAATTCATCAGAAGTAAAAACAATATATTAGAAAGGTGCGTAAAAATCTGGAAAAAGGTTGTCCTTCGGACACATTGCTCACGACATTTCAATGAAACCGAAATACCAAAGTTAACAACATGACTTGGGTGGCTGGAAGTATTGAAAATTGTTTACTTGACAAATAACAGGCAATGACAGCATATTGTGTTTTATCTCTGTTTCTTTAAAAAGTTAACATGGTTGTACTTGAGGTTTAAATTCCTAAAATGAAGTTTTATATTTTATATTGTTTTCAGGATGATGTTCTATTACATGCACAAAGCGCGTCGAAAAGTGGGAAAAAAGTCCGTCGATGAGAATAGTCACACTGGAAATGCCCAGTGCAAGTGCTGTGGGAAACTATTTTACGGCAAAGCAAACATAACCCGACACAGGTATTCAAAATCATTTTTTCGTTTGGTAACTAACACATATACATGTATTTAAGACTGAATGGTTTATACGGAGACTGTGGAAATATATTATGAAAAGATATATGTTACTATTGTTTGCTGAAGCAATGCGACCATTCTGAAATTCTTACTTTCCTGCCATTTGAACAAATACTCAAATCTTCCACAGCTGCAAAAAGAACCCTCGAATGCTTCTTTTTAAAAGCAAACTTGCTAAATTACCAGGTATATTCAAGTCTATAGTGTTGAAGAATGGCACATACAAATGTTTAAATTTAACATACTTGAGTGCTACATTTTACACGTAATTTCTTTTTAATATTCTTACAATTTTACAAATTTGCCTCACCTGTTGAATGTGTCTGACCGGCGGCCATTGTTTCAAATTGGTTTCCCTTTATTTACTGTAAATACAAATATTTATTTTTACTTCAAACGCACAGAAACAGTTATCAAATATAGGATATGTGTTGGTTTTTGTACGCCACTGGAGAGAAAACTTTTTATGAAGCTCACTCAAAGGAAAAAAATTCCACATACACGTACGCACGCACAAACACCACATGCGTACACACGCGCGCACGCACGCACGAACAATCACACAGAGACACAAACAAGTCTTTTTTGCATGCATAAATATACAAGTTTAAATACCATTTTTTACAATATTTTTAACATTTACAACTGTATTCCTAATCGGTAGCCTCATTTTCAGAAAATTTCTCATAAACACATGAAGAAAAGGGCTAAAATGATTAATTCAAAAATTTACGGAGATGGCAATGATATTATTTACCAAAAAAAAGATAAATGATCACCAGCTTTAATAAACAAAACAAACAAAATTAAAGAAGGAAACAAAATACACGATGGCGTTAAAAAACTAATTTTATTGAGGTTAATATTCAAAATATCCGAAGCAATAGGTCTTCTGCCAAATTAAAGACGAGGAAAGAATATAGAGGGATGTAATTTGTCAAAAATTTTACACGTATTCAAAATGAAGGAACATTGTTCGATGATTTTGTAAATAACAACAGTCAATAAGCATTTCATAAAATACTCTTTTAATTGCATAAAAAAACACACAAAAAACTCAGACTGTTGTTAATGATATAGCAGTGTAATGATTGTTTGTGATATTGGGTAAGCGCATCCTCATGCTGTCAAACCATAATATTGAGGCATTATCCCATTGCACTAAGAATACATTATCTCTATGTGGCTTTTACTGCAACTTTGTATGCATGTATCTATCTGGCTAGAATTGCAAATGAAATGTCACATTAGTAAAGTTGATTATTTTGGTAATTTGTTAAATGCGAATTTTATCGTTATGTAAAATCTAAATAGATTAAATAAGTTATTCCCAAACAAAGTTATTTCCGAAGAGATGTTATTTCCGATGAAAAATAGATCCATTATATTTAAACATACTTTATTGTTCTTTTCGTACGCACGTTTAACATGATATCATCATTTTATCAAGCAGATTGTTCCATTTTTTTAAGAATATTTGGCATTTTTCGTAAATACAAAAGCTTCAGAATCTTTAGTATTTTCTTTACTGCATCTGTAACACAATCCTAAAAGTTTTTCTAAGAATAAATCGAATTTTGATTAAAACTTTCTTTATAATCTTGATCTAAAAGTTTTTGTTACCGTATTTATATTTATATCCCTTAAAATAAAAATAACATCCCTCTCGTTTGACTTTTTGTAACTATTTTATAATTTTTTTATGTTCAATAAATCCTAGAGGAGATTAAATGTGCTTTTGTATTTTTAGTTACAACGGTTCTGCTGGAGGAAGACAAAAGGTGACCCTAATTGCATTATTTCAAGAATGAGCTTGCCACTAAGCAGAACCTTCTGTTAAGTAGGTTGATAACTTCCTAACACTAAAGAGTTCAAAATACTTGTTGGGATTCGAACCCTAACCGGTAAGAGGAAATTGGTTTGAAGTTCTTGACATTGAATACGGATATGGATACCCCCATAACCGTGTATGTGGTTAATAGTATATGAAATAAATTTACCTACCGGCTCCTTTGTTAAAAGCGCTCCTTTGTTAAAAGCAGTCTAGTAAATCACAAACTGACCGCTGAACAGGTCTGCAAATATATACCGACCTGTTATTGTTCTATTGTCATCTATACAAAAGAAAATATGTGAATTCGAGTGACTCGTGCATTTAAGATTTAGCATTACATAAATATCACCGTATACGTATATTCGCATTTATTTACGGGAATGTTGAAATAATGCAGGAATTGCGCAAAATTAACTCTGCATTGTGCAAATTTATGGGTGGGGGATGATCACTTTGAATAGGAATAGGATCGATATATATGAGTACAATAACGCGCATTTAAGCTTTCTTCATATCTTGCTTTTCGGCTCACATTTGCCAAACTATAAAGCTTCATAATATACTAGTTTTCGGCATTTATTTCCACAATTCAGTCTGTTCTTTTGTGTGTTTTTTTGCACAATCCTGCGTTATTTTAACAATTCTGCGTTATGGGATATAAACGATCTTATCAAACATATGAAGAAGGGGGAATGATTCTTATAGAGTATACACCGAAAGAAAATTCTTCCGAACATGAATGAGATTCTAAGCATATTTAAAATCAATCATCTATAAAATGCCAACATGAAAAACAATAACAACAAAAGAAAACTAAAAAAACAAACAAACTTACAAGACAGTTTAATTACATGTAATATTAGTATTTATATTCATAGAAGCCTGTCACTTACTTTCCTTTGAAAATAATCGTAAATTTTATATCTAAAATAGGCTGATCATATATTTACCATGAAAATCATTATATATCAAGATAAAGTATTCTATGTCAATATATTTATATATTATTATTATATTATATATACATATAACAAAATAATTATCTTACCTTTACCCTCTTTATATAAATGACTTGAAACAGAACTCGGCAAGATATGTTCTTATTTTCTGAGACTCATCACAACAAGTACATTACCTGACCTTTTTACATAATAAAAACCCCACGCAAATAAAAACGATAATTTTCAAATAACACCTGATTTGTGCACTAATGAATTACAAGAGCGTAGCGTTTGGTATATTTGAATGACTTTGGAATGCATTTCTTTTACATGATAAAGTACATAAATAAAAGGTTTCTTGTGAGTAATATTGATAAATACCGAGTTATTAAATGATGTTTGAATAGGAAAACAAAAGAGCGTGTAGGTAAGATAGTTACCGTACTCAAAATAGGTCTGCATAGTATTTACAGACCCGGTGGCCTTTTAAAAACAGCGATCGCTACGCTCCATTGGTCTTCAAATCGCCATCCGGGTCTGTAAATACTATACAGACCTATTCCTATTACATACAGAATGAAAATTTTATATGTAAGTATGGAAATGTTACTTATTTAAACAGCTGTTCTCACTTTAATGTCAAGCACGCGATTGGTGCATGATAATGCGTACACTTTATCATAGATAAAGGCTATCATTCACTTCCTCAATGTTTATGACATCATTTTCCATGAATAAGTTGCTTTCATCATTGTAATTTAATCTTTAAAACGAGGATAGGTCAATATGTAATACAATTGAAAGTATATTTTTATTTCAGCTCGTGATTTTTGTGTTTGTGTAAATATGCTATGCATCTAAGCATCTATCTTTCAATCATATTTAGTTAATCGCTTTAGGATTTTATCCACATCTAGAATACCTTACACATCAAATTTATGTGAAATATGTTAGTAAACGCTCACTTAAAAGTGGTGAAAAACGGAATTACATAAAAGCTCGAGCAAAACTAGTAAAGACTGTTATAAATGTTTAAAAAGTTATTTGTAATATTTATGGCAACAATAAAGTATCTGCCACTTTGTTGAGATGGATCCATACATTCAAGACTGGACAATTAGAGATGCCTGTAAGATATTGACAAAAACATTCATAATTCAAGCTTATGTCGACTTGCATTAATCCAGATAGCCCCGAATCGTTTGAATATTTCTGTAATTATTTGAATATTTATGTCGTTCAATTCAATATTTATTTAATGGAAATTTTTTTTCAATCATACATGTATATGTGTTGTGATCCAGACAAAATTAAGTATACTTTTATTCTCACATTAACTGTTTTGTCATTAAGACAAACTTCAACAAGTTTTGTTAGAGGAAGGATATATCAATTAAGATTTGGAAATAAAAAATGTTTTGTTTTTCATGAGTATAAATCAGTATCACTCATGATGAATATCATGAGTACTCGTTAATCTTTTATCTTTTATTATATCTTTTATTCTTCTGTATCTAATTGTCAAAAATCTAATGCGAAATAGCTAAAATCATTCCAATCTGTTTTCATGACATATAATTTATTTACGAGCCTTGTGAATGACGGAAAAGTAGGCACATATAAAACGATTTCCACGTGAAAAAATTGAAAGGTAATACGTTTTGAATAGAACAAACATTCAAAAGTGTATCAGTACGGAACAAAACTCGAGGACACGACAAACCTTTTCCATGTAAGCGCTTTATTTAATCTCTGAGCTAAAATACCCATTAAATCATTCAATACAATGATTTCACATTGTTTAATGGCAATTTTCACGTTTTAAATATATAGTTGGAATTTTTTATGTGAAATATAAAGTAAACTTAAAATAAAGAGATTCCAAATGATTCTTAAATATTTATCATACCTCTTGTATTTGAGTTCCTGACTTTATGTCGTTTGCAGCAACCACAAAAGTCCATAATCAATTGAACAAAATTAATAACAAGCGGGGTATTTATTGATAAAACGATAAAACGAGAATTGATAAAAAGAATGTGCATGTGATAGTTGTAGATAAAAGTATGACATCATATCGCTTTTCTTCTTTTCCGTGAACGGAAGACTATCGAATAATTTTAAATAAACGAACAAAGTCCGTATTAGTATGCATCACTCTTTACAAACGTATTTGGAAATACAAATTGAACAATGTAGACAAATTTAATTGATGTTGGTGTAACATGGGCACATTTCAAATACGATAGAAACAATATAAATGTATCATTTAGGTAATCTTATGAAATATTTCAGGAAAACAAAATGTTTGAAGATTTTTAAAGGAATTTTATTATAAACATTTATATGACGAACAATAATATTTTGTTCTAGAACACTTCATCATCTGCTTTATATTGACATGTTATTTCGGATCATGTATACGTACCAACAACATCCATATATAATTCTTTGTGATACTATACTATCAACATAATTTTATTAGACATGTTCCATTATAGACTAATTCATTTTAAGTCAAATAATTTTATTTTCCTCTCATAGATTGGACAATTATAGACCCGCATAGAAAAAGTAAACTAGTGATAGTTGGTTCGATCCTCGGTTGAAGCTTAAGTTCTTTGTGACAAAGTGATTCCTTAATCGTATACTCAAAAGTATTTCTAAGAAAAGAGAAATAATAAGTTAAAACGACAACTTAACAAAATATGTTCTTCGTCAAAAAGTGATTTGAGAAATATTTTAACTATGTATTTATACTTTTCGAATGTTGCAAATATATTGCATAATAATTATAAACGTTATACTAACTAAGCTACTGATCACGCTTTTATCAGCCATCAGTCGACTGATAGGTTGTTGGTTTGATAAGTTAACATTATATAAATAACACATGGGTTTGTGGGTAACAGTAAAAATATCATCCCGAGGAAAATACTGTTACCCGAGGCGTAGCCGAGGGTAACAGTATTTATACGAGGGATGATATTTTTGCTGTTACTCACAAACCCATGTGTTATTTATTTTATTACACCGAACAAAAATACTGAGATGATCTGAAATTGACGCTAAATCTAACTGTACCAAAAATAAACCAAGAGTGACAATAACTAAACTGTCCTTACCTTTCAAGTTTTAAGTGTACTTTATTGTAGGCCTACTTGAGAAGTTTTCTTTTTCTTTTATCCTTTAAGCATGTGATGATATCTACAAATCATAAACATACAATAAGCTAGGTTTTATTTAGGAAACAAAACACTAACCCATTTACACGGTTATGATCTGTGAAATATGATCCTTCTGTTTCCAGAATATTAGCATGGCTTTTGACAAAATAACGATGATATCCTATGTAAATTTGTTAAATAATCCTTTGTTGCATGCTTAAATCGTCTGCATGTTCCAGTTTGACACATAATTATTAACATTGCAAGTGCTTCCGTTGAAAACGGATGTTCACTTTTTGACTATTCAACAAAAATATATTTTATACGCGAAAAGCACACCAGGATGCAGACAACTAAATTTTATGAGTGTCATAGTGACTCCATAGGAGAAATTGATGTCCTATCGGGATTTAACGTTGAAAATAAGAATGAATCGAGAAAAAAATGGCGGCCATTTTATTTCATTTTATTTAGGAAACAGACCACGTGATCTGTAAAAAAATACTGTTACCTATGCAACAGTACAAAATTCTTAGTCACGTGGTACACTTGCATTAACAGTAAAATTAACTCCCAGAGGCCTATGGGAAATTAGCATTACGAAAAAAGTGAGGGGTAATAATACAAAATGACAAGTTATAGATAGCAAACTGATTATCGTTTAATACAAAATGGTTGATCTAAATAACGACTGTCTGTTAAACGTTTTGTACTCTGATAAAGTATAATTTAAAAATATATTTAATTTTGATAAAAAAAGATTCATTCCTGCAAGGAACGTGAAATAGCGATCGCTTCTTTTTTAACATTTGCCTGTTTTTTTTCTGTCGAATTTACTCAGAATAGCCCCTAAAATACATTTTATATTATATCTATATATTAGATAAATCTTAGATTGCATTTCAACAATCCGCTTTTTCTTCTGATAATCTTATTATATTCATACATCTAGGAATGTAAATAATCGTTATTCATACTGATAATAATACGTGCATTATAATCTTAACACAACATCTTGGTGCTAACTTCTTTTCTATAACAAAGGAGATAAGACAGAAAAGTAATATGAGCTGATGCATGATATGTAAGAGGTGACGACATTTTATGGTTTATGATTGCCTGAACTATTTCTTCTTTGATGAAAGATTTTTAACTGATTGCATGACTCCGTCCATGCATCCTCCCTTTATCAAAGGTCGCGTGTAACAGAAAGGGGTTTTGGAACTGGTTTGATGAATATCTTGTCTTGTAATTCTAGTTATTTTCCCTTTCATATTATTTTTTTAAATGAAAGCATACGAGCAGATATGTTTACAGCTTTATA